TCCTGCTACTCCCAGAAAGAATCTTCCCTTAATCTGCAGCACTGACTCCCAAAATGATTGCTAACTCACATTCAGGCACTGTCTGTAATTTAGTTCTGAGCAATTCTGATTCTATATTTGATCTATGAGTTTTACTACAGGTGATGGTTTTGTTTGTTACAGCTGTAGGAAATCAGCCCCCCCCCCAGAAGGAAATATTAAAAGGGCAGAAAAATATATTTCCTCAAAGGATCTTAAAGAGGCAGAAAAGCATGCCCAGTTTTTCTTAATAGCTCCAGGTCTCTGTCCCCCAAGCAGAAACCAGTTCTGTAGAAATGCAAACCAGCTAGAAGATCAAGAAGACAAAGACACCTAAAATCTACATACCCCACCCAAACTCTAAGACAGGACATAATAGAATTAATACAGAGATGCCAAATGGCACACTCAGACTCAGGCCAAAGTTCATGCCACAGGAAGCAACTCCAAACAAAATGCTCCAGAGGGTATAAAAACCCACTCTCCACATGTGCTCAGCCCTTTTTCCCTCTTTTTTCTGCCAGAGCCAACTTTCTGTCTGATTCTCCTTTTCAATAAACTGCAACCTTCTTTCTAAAGCAGTCACCATGTTGTTTATCCCTGGCTTACACTGAACCACTGAACCACGACACAGCTAAGCCTTTCTAACAAGAATTGCCTTTGTTTGCCATATGTGATTTGACTCTTTTATGAAATAATAGTGCAGGATAATCCTTTGCATATTGAAAATTCAGGTTTCTATCCCACATCTTTTGGGGGGGGGGATACTGACACTGAGTGTATATGGTAGCAAAAATGCATCCTTAGAAGCTCTACAAAAATGAAATTGACAGAATTTGTTCAACCTCTGTGCCAATAATCAGCTTTTACCAGCCATGCTGATTGATCCATATCATACTTTCCATTCATGCCTATTTTAAATGCTGGTTTCTATGAGCGTTCATTTTTTCTATAGAAACAAGTTGTATCCTTCCACCATTAGGGACTGTAATACTACTGTGCTGAAAATAAATACTAGCATTATGATTGTTGTGAGCTAATGAGCTGTATAGACACATTGCTTTTTCCCCTTCAGGAACTTTGCAGCTTCTTTTCTGACTCACACAACTGCAGTCAGATTGCTTGAGCTTTATAGTATAAATTGTGAACAATGATACCTTGTGTTTTCAACTGCCTTCTCTTATAAAAGCATCTTATATGTGAATGTATAGGCCAAGGCATTGGAGCAGAAGATTGGGTAGAATCGTTCAATACATGCTTGTTGGTAGAATGTGATTCCATGGCCAATGAGTAATTAAGGCCAACAGGTAAAGAGGAAAAAATTATTCAGCGGTGATAATTGGATCTCTTCCACAGTAGGAAATACCTACATTGGGATGGTTATGCTATTTATAAACATGTCAAGCACAATTTATAGCAAAGGATTTGACATTGATTTAATATGGTTTTTCCTCATATGGTTAAGAGACAGACAGACACATACAAAGGCACTTTGTTCCATATACAGTATAGTCCTTTAAAATGGTGATGTCACCTTTCCATCTTAAAATGTCCTGACATACATAAAGGATTATTACTTTGTATGTGACCTATTCATTTAGAGAACGGCTTTATTTGGGTCTACTTTAAGAAAAAAGAGAGAGGTAGATGTCTGTTTGACTACCCATCTCACTCTCTCTCCATTCATCTTTCTGTCTTTCTGTTTACCTATCTATTATCACTACATAGCTATTTATCACACTTAAAAACATTATGAAAAAGTATTAACATCCTTCCATAGTTTAAAAGTCAGATAGATAGAATAACAGAATTGGAAGGGACCTTTGAGGTCTTCTAATATAACCCTCTGCTCAAGCAGGAGACCCTATACCATTTCAGAGCCTTTTTGTCTTTTTTGTTTGTCTTCTTAACTTTAGATTAAGATTTCTGTGCTTTGTGTAGTGGTTGATTTGTCCAAACTCTGTAACAAAAGCTGAATTAAACACGGGCGAGCAATGTTTAAATTCATCCATCAAATGCTAAATAGTAAGTAGTGAGAAAGCAGAGATATGTGTATGCAGTTGGGAAACTCAGCAGTTTCCATTTAAAAGATTGAAACAAATTGTGACTTTGGTGCTTTCTAAAGAATCTACTTAAATTTTACTTTTGCAGGATTAAGAATTGAAGGACATAAAGACTTTAAATTTCAAGAAAACTCTGCTCTAGTTTGGGAACTGCTTAGAAATTTTATTAATTATAGGGTATCAACCTGAACATGTTTGCTTGAAAGTAACTCCATGTAGACTGATCAAATATATTTCCTACTAAAGTATAACTTAAGTTCACTGACCTAATCTTGCTAGATATTTTACTAGCATGTTTTTTGGAAGATTGCATTATTCACAAGACTAATTAAAAACACGTCATATCTGCTGATGGGCTCTAATAAAGCTTAAGGCATGATTTGCACCTGCATTTTAATATTCCGAAAATAAATTATGAAGCAAATAAGTAATGCAATGCTTTTTAAAATTCAATCAAGTATATTGTCCCTAAAGTTTTAAAACCATTTTCATTTAATTATGGAGTAAGAGAGCATCTTTCATTTTGCAATGAAAAGAATGATTCTGTAATTGTAATCTTCATTTAAAATTACCCCCTGCAATGAAGAATGTGCTTATGATGGGGAAGTACCTCGATTTTGTTTGTAAAGAGATGGTTTTTCTTTCATTATTTAATCTATTAATGCTTCCAATTCTGATGGGCTATGTGGATACTCCTGGAGCTTTTGTGTTAATCAAATGACTTGGCACGTATTGGGACTGTCCAAGTTCATGTCATTGCATTAAAGGGCACAGCCGATGAAATCACTGGCTTGTAATGTACTAGTGATTGGATTAACTTGTCTATTTTGTGCAGACTATTTGAAGACTTATTGGAGATAAAGTGAAAAGATTATGTCCAAAGAGCTGACCTTTGGCTATTATTCCTCTTGAAAAGAGCTCACAAGCCCTTAGCAAGCCTACTACTCTTGAAAACTGTGTGGTGTTAGAATATATCAGAGGTGATAAATGTCTTGCTAATTTGTTTAAAATTAATCTCTGTTTGCCTTTTTTTTCCAATTAAATGGGCACCACAAGACAGATGCAAAGTCCAACATGACCAAATTTGTGATTCCTCTAAGCTTGACCTCTAACCTTTACTTCATCATTCTGTACTGCCCAAATAACATTGTGTTATTTGAAGAATCATAGCACTTTGGTAAAGTAATCAACAGAGACTTTTCTTTTGGGATTAAAGGAGAGACAATTAGGAAAAAAAAATATGGAACATTGAATTCTTGTATACTGTATGATAATTGCAGCAAGATTATTATTTGCTCTAAAGTGGAAAGGTTCAGCCCTACCCATAATGGGAGAATGGTTGGTGAAGATGATGGAATTTACAGAGATGGCTAAATTGACTTCCTTGCTTACAGAACAGACATCTATGTTTACTGCTGACTGAAAAACCCTTATAAACTTTTTTCACGAAACAGAAAAATTAAATTTTTAATTTTGGGTTTTGATGATTCAAAAATATTCAATAATTGAAAAAGAGAGTATTTTTTTGTAAGCATAGAGTAAAAGATTACCATGAAATCATACTTATATTTGCTTGCAAAGGAAATTGGAAGCTTCTTTTTTCTATTTTAACTTTTCCTTTTGCATCTTTGTTTTTCTTTTTCCCTTCTTTCCCTTTTTTTTACTTTGTATTAGTTTTTGTTAGTTTTTATCTTCTTTTTAAAACTTTTAATTAATTGTATACAAAAAGAAAAAAAGAAAAAGTAACCTTCTAAGAAAGAGAAAGTAGGAATTGAAATGGGAGACAGATGACCTCCAATGAGAACAGATGCTTATTATGCCTTTCCTGGATCAACATATAAATGACAATTGACAATAGAGACATATGGGAAAACAAATCCTCCTCAGATTGTGACAATGTGAGATATAGTTTCTACTATAGCTTTGCATATTTCTTAACAACACGGTAAATGTGATATAGAAATAAAAAAGGATTATAAACTTTATAGTAAACTTTATAGTAACTTTGATGGAGAAATCAAGCTTAGGCAATTAATGATATGGTTTGACATAATTGTTATTTTCCATTGAGTAAATTCACACAAATAGAAATAGCAATAGCACTTAGACTTATACAGTGCTTTTTTTCTTTAAAAAAAAAAGGTGCCGAAACTCACACATCATACAACCCACCTTGCCTCCCCTACAAGGTTCCATCCCAAAAAGGTGCTGGAACTCCGTTCTGGGCATTCTATGAGAAAAAAAGCCCTGGACTTACATATCACTTCACAGTGCTTTACAGCCCTCTCTAAGAGTCAGCATATTGCCCCCCCTCCAAGAATCTGAATCCTCATTTCATCCATCTCGGAAGGATGGAAGGCTAAGTCAACCTCAAGCCAATCAAGACTGAACTCCTGGCAGTGGACAGAGCTAGCCTGCAATACTGCATTCTAACCACTGCACCACCATGGTTCCTAAATTAAAATCCTTGGGAAAACCATGAACAAATGTCTTCCTTCACAATAGTTTTATGGCGCTCAATTCTATTTTTTTTCTATTTTTATCCTGCCTTTATTACTTTGTATGTGTGTGTATATAGACAATTTTTTTTAAAAAAGCCAGGTATATATATAAAACTCAAAGTGTCGTCACTTTTTGGCTCAGGTCTTGGTTAATATGCTGGTTGAAACTACCTAATGTGGTTTTTAAGCTATGGCTTTAACATGCTATTGTGCAAACTCAGATAATTGTGATTTATTACCCAATTATGCTTAGGTAAACAATGACTTAATGCAATAAGTAAACTCATCTAGTAGATATTCATAGAGCAACATTTCCTTTGTTTCCTTGTTTTATAAAAAAATAGATCCCAAGTTACCTATGTACATAATCAAAAGTTTAATTTTTATTGGAAAAGCCAATCTGTACACATAATTTGTATTTGATATTGTTTCTTGTAGAGCTTTGATACAGCAGAATGGAAAAGAAGATAGAGATGTTGCAACAAAACTTCTGGGTCAGTGGACATCCTTAGGTCTTGAAGATGTCCAGCTTATCAACTACACTGTCTTGCTTGACTTGCCAGACTCTTCTCCAAATACAGTGACTCTGAATAACACTGGGGAATGCTATTATCCTAATGGACAGCCATGTAACAAAGAGACCCAACCTCACCACAGTCAAGACCTTCTGTACTCCTATGCTGCTTACTCTGCCAAAGGAACTCTCACGGTAATATGACCCATTTGTATATGTTATATTGGTGTAAAAATCAAGCAGAAAGGGGGGAAAAAATTCATGTAGATGTAAGCCTGTTGAATGATATACTGTATTCTGTTACAATAGCCAGATAACTTATGGAGGTTACAAATAGCAATCATGGAACACTGTGACCATGTCTATGGATATTCTCAATGATCCATGTCATGGTTGTCCCAAAGGTGCTTTTCCAAAGGTAACTGGACTTTCTTGGGTTTTTTTCTTTGAAAAAGTTTTGCTTCTCATCCAAGAAGCTTTTTCAGTTCTAACTGACTGGTGGGAAAGGATTTATATTCTTTGCAGTCATCTGATTATTAGCTCTCTGAGGGTCGTTCAGACCACTTGGGGGGGATTATCTGTATCCTCAGAATCAGAATGCAAATGTGTGTGGAACCTTCTTGGAATTGCTGAAAGGACTGTATTGTAAACAGGAGATAAGTAGTATTGTATCCCTGTCTCTTTGTTAAGTTTTGACAAAATGGCTTTTTTTAACCCCTTAAATCAGTGGTCCTCTCTGTCCAAAAATGTGAACTTTGCTGTCTTCAGAAGAGTGACCTTTGTCTTTCAGATGCAGATGGACTAAACCAATTGCTGCTAGTTGCTATTGCAACTGCTGTCACAAATGGTTACATGACATCATGCTTTACAACACCATCACGTAATGATGGAGTTACTTGTCCCAATTACCCTTGTTAAATGAGGACTACCTGAACACCAATCAGGACTTTCTAAAAAAGTGCAGCTTCAGACAGGAAGGCGGTACAGAGAGTGGTGAGGATGGTAGAAAAGATTATTGATAGTTCACTTCTTCTATCCAGGACATTGCATATGAGCGATGCTTGAGCAAGGTCCACAGGATTGTCTGGGATGCTACACATCCTCTCCACAATCTGTTTTCCTTGTTACCTTCTGGGAGGAGGCTTTGTGGTATCCAAAGCAGAACTTCTAGATTCAGTTTTGTTCCAAATAGCATCAATCCCTCTGAACTCTCAAGTTTTTTCTCTCTCTCTGTGTGTGTGTTTATATACATATACACATACATACATCAATATGTCTTCTTTTTTACACACACACACACACACACACACACAGCCAGCTACACCCTTCTGAGATTCAGGTGCATCATAAACACACACACACACACACACACATATAAGGCTGTTCAGTTTGGGAATTACTTTGAATTTGGTTAATTTGGTTTGGTAGTCAGATGTGTTCATAACCACCGTGGCGTTGCCCTTGTGTTTGGGAGTGACACATCCCCACTGAAACCATTATATGTGGAGTTGAAACAAGCCTGACCAAAATCAACCCCGACGACGCTAACAGAATCAGACTCGAAATCACCAACATCCTCTGTACCAGCAAGCCACCCAAAAGCAACTTACCCAAAGAGGAACAGACAGCACTACGTAACCTGAAAGAAGACACCAGCATAATAATCCTACCAGCAGACAAGGGCAACGCCACGGTGGTTATGAACACATCTGACTACCAAACCAAATTAACCAACCTACTCCAAGACTCCACATACAAACCCCTAAATACAGATCCCACCACCTACCTGGAAAAAACCACCAGATCCAAAATAAAAGCCTCCCCCATTAGCGAAGAGATCCAGCAAAGAATCATTCCCAGAGAGAAATCATCCAGATGCCCCAAACTCTATGGTCTCCCCAAGATACACAAGGAAGGAACCCCACTCAGACCTATAGTCAGCTCCATAGGCTCACCTCTACAAAACCTAGCCAAATTTCTCGCCAAACAACTACAGCCCTATGCAGAATCCATCACCTCACACGTAAAAAACTCATTCCAGTTTATAGAGATCATAAAGAAACAAAACTTACAGCCCAGCGACCTACTAGTGAGCTTCGATGTCATATCCCTCTTCACCCAAGTGCCTATCAAAGAAGCCTTGACAGCTATCCAAAACAAATATAACCCCCCCAAACACATCTTAGATCTGACCAACCACTGCCTATCCAACACATACTTCATCTATAATGGACAAAAATACAAACAAACAGAAGGAGCACCCATGGGATCACCCCTCTCACCTGTCATTGCCAACCTCTACATGGAACACTTTGAAACCCAAGCTCTAGAAAAATCGGATCACAAACCCAAACTCTGGCTCAGATACGTAGACGACACCTTCATAATCTGGCCACATGGGAAAGAAAAACTGGACAACTTCCTCACACACCTCAACAGCCTACACCCCAAAATACAGTTCACCATGGAAACAGAAGCTAACAACCAACTTCCCTTCCTGGATGTCTTAGTCTACAAGAAATCCAATGGCTCCCTAGGACACACCATCTACCAGAAGAAAACACACACAAACCGCTATCTGCACGCTCTCTCACACCACCACCCAGCACAGATCAACTCTGTAGCCAAGACACTCATCTCCAGAACAAAACGCTTAGCTGACGAACAACACCTAAAAACCGAACTACACACTCTCACCAATGTACTAACATCCAATGGATTCCAAAGAAATAAGATTACAAACCTAATCCAAAAAGAAACCCCCACTAAAATCCAAGACGAAGAACAAGAAAACGGCAAAGCCCTCCTCCCATACATAAAAGGCACCACAGACAGAATCAGTAAGATCCTCCATAAACACAACATCAAAACAGCATTCTGCACAAACAGAAAAATATCCACCATCCTTAGAAACCCCAAAGATAAAATTGAATTAGAAAATCAAGGAGTATACGAAATCCCATGCACCACTTGTCCCACCACATACATCGGACAAACCAACAGAAGAATAAGTGCACGCATTGAAGAACATAAGAACTCAGTCAAAAAAGAGGAACCAACATCTTCCCTGGTCCAACACCTTAAAGCCACAGGACATGAAATTGACTTTAAAAATACCAGAACCATTGCCAAAAGTGAACATTTTAATAACAGAATAATCAGAGAAGCCATCGAGATAGAAAAACGCCCACACAGCATGAACAAGCGAGATGATACCTCCCGCCTACCAGCCATTTGGAAACCCGCCCTTATTGACAAACGACTCCCTAACACAAAAAATGATACCAGACCCACACTCACAAAAACCACACAGGATGTCACCACCACACATCCACGCAAAAAGCAAACCCAAAGCCACACCGATGATGAGGCACGACCACAAACCAGAAGCCAGACCAGAGCTGCATCATTAGCCACTTTAAAGCCCTCCAATCCATACATGAAGCAAACTGACACCCTCCATGAAAATGAGGCACGACCACAAACGCGAAGCCAAAAAATAGCAAGGCAGCCCAAAATCTTAAACCCCTCTGCAACTCAGACTAACCTGAGCACAACCAAACAGAACACTCCCCCAGCCAATCAGAGCACAGCCAACCCCCCAGCCAATCAGCACAGCACAGCCAATCAGAGCACAGCCACCCCTAACCAATCAGAACACACCTCCACCCAATCAGAACACAGCCAAGCTCCCACCCAATCAGTTCATACCCCCACTGGCAGTTAAAAGGAAGAAACAGCTAAGACCACACATTGCTGCTCAAAGCACGAAGCTGAAAACACCAGCCTGAAGATGACGAATGGGACTTCGTCGAAACGTTGCCAAGACACTTCCAATTTTACGCGGGAGAAAACCCGAACAACCAAAGACCTATATATATATATATATATATATATATATATATATATACTTTCTTTTGAGACCAGGCAACAGAATTTCATTTTTAAGATATTCCAGTGTGCCCACAGTAAAAAATGACAAGAAAGTTTCTTTTCCTATCCTATCCTATCCTATCCTATCCTGCCTTGCCTTGCCTTGCCATCTTATCTTATCTTACCTTACCTTACCTTACCTTACCTTATCTTATCATTTTAAGTGTTCTCAACCACTTTGTAGTTTATGGATCAGTTATACATAATAATGACTATTTTGCTTGTTTAAAATTGGAAATTGTCCATCAAAGAAAAGATATCTATGTATCATTGAATTAAAAAAAAAATCTCATTTAGGTTTCAGCCAGAATCAATGCATGGCTTTTCCTGACAAAGAGCATAATGCACTCTTAATAAGGAGACATCTACTAATGGGGTTATTAATTAGAAGCAGTCTAATTTCCCCCTCCCCCTCCAAAAAAACCCCAAAAAACTCCTCTTAGGCCAACATGGCTGAATACAACATGAGAGGATTAAAACATAAAAATTTTATATACTTAATTTTATTGCTTGGATAGATCAATTATCATTGTCATTTTCTGGAGTCTTAAACTGTAAGACAATTCATTTATGAAGTAATTTATGAAGTAAATTCATTTATGAAGTAACCTTTTTAATAAAAAGGAAGAAATCCACATATATTTATTAATGTTTCATTAATATATCTAGTTTCATCATCAGTATTGACTAGATAGAGCACATATTTAAGATATCCTTATTTATATGAGATTATTTGTTCTCAAACTGTACAGAGTAGAACACACAGAACAATGTTTCATCTGAAACTGCTGCATGATTATACATACCGAACCTTTCCTGCTACTTGTATTTAACGTTTATTTTGTCTTAGGTGAGAACCGAGCATCGGTGTGAATAATCTAAGCCCAAAGGAATTTGTGATCTATATTTGTGCATAGAACAGGAGCATATGGGGAGATAAATTTACAAACATCCCCACCTGCTTTTGAGCAATGCCTGATCTGGATATATGTAGGCCTCAAAAACTGAAGATCCATCTGGTGTTCATACTGTATAATTAAACTTAGCCACCTGCAAATGTAAAAAGAATTAAGGCTTTTGCTAGACACAAAGGCCTATTAAGTTTACCTAATTATGCATCTCCACCATCTGAGTTAATGTAATCAGTGCTGTGATGGTGCAAATTTTCTACAAGATGCCACAACTACTTATATCTTTAAGATAAAGAGGCTAATTCCAATAGTAAGATTTCCTTTTGAAAACCATGGCCTGATTACATATAA